TTAAATTTAGATTTTTATGGGAGACTTTAAAGTGTCCCTTTAAAAAAGGAGATTTTAAGGTCTAAWTTTTTTTACCTATACATATTTATTCCCCTCAATTAATGTGTGATTTATTTATTTTCTATTATAAGTTTTATATCGTGATGTACATCGTTACCGTCACTCATAATGTATATCGTGATATGAATTTTTTGCCATATCACACATTCCTAGTGGAATGTCCCCAAATGGATAGCTGTGCAAACGTGTGTGTGTGTATGTTCGAGTGTTCCGACCTTGGAAATATTTTTGTGTGTTTGTGCTCTGAGGCAGGAACTGCAGTGTGCCAGTGTGTTCTGATTAACTTTTGACAGAGTGACAGGGCTGCTCCGTCACACTCGGGGTTTTCTCCCACAGCCCAGAAAGATGCAAGTCAGGTTAATGGGTTACTCTAAACAGTTCCTGGATGTGAGTGTGAGAGTTAAGGGTATTGTGATGCCCTGTGATGGACTGGTGACCTGTCCAGAGTGTACTTTCTCCATTAACCACTGGAGATAGACTCCACCTCCCTGTGACCCTGAACAGAAACAAGTGGGCAGAGAAAATGGATGYAAGGATATTTGGTATATATTTTTCAAACTTGCTATACTGCACAGTTGTAACTGCATCTTATTTTCATTGATAGTCTAGCTTTCTCTCCAACCCCCTCCTCCCCTCTTGCTCTCGGGGACCTGCACAATGTCACCTTGTCCTCATAATACTGTCCTTTGTTGCATTCTCTCGTATTCCCGTCCCACTGTAGAATTTGTGATTTAATTCCTGTGAGTTTTTCCCTGCTCGTTTTCAAATGATTTTGCATTTTGAATCCCCAAACAGTTCGCTTTTATCAGCCCTGCTTGACAGATGTTTAATTCTTTTTAATGGCAGATTTTTTTCATGCGTTTTGCAGGGATCTCATGTAATCACTGCGTATGTTTTTATGTTTATTTTAAGTTGTGGTGTAGCATCAGAGAGTGACCCAGCCCATCCACAGTTTAAACTCCCAGGAGATCCTCTGCTGCTTAAATCACAGATAAGGCTTCATGTGTGATTAATACTTTAGGCTTTGGCTGAAAAAGCGAAACACACACRCGTATGCTGTTTTCTGCAGCTGTGTTCCTATTTATACACACAACATTGCCCTTTCGAGCATTACAGCTGAGAGTAAAATGTATGGACTTGATTGTGGAGGGGGTTGGTAAAAAAAAKACACACTAATAAATACAGACAGATTTGTTGCCACGCTAATGTCTTTGTTCCCATTCTGAAACATCCTACATCAATAACATGAAGCATAGATCTCAATAGGTCATATTAAATATTAACTTTGTAAGTTAAACTTTTACAAGATTTCCTGAGTTTTTAAGATCTTTTTTTTTCTGCAAATCTGCTTAATTTGGCCTTTCAAGATGCAGGTTGCTCTCCATATTTAAGGCAAACATAGCGTGCTTTGGTTTTTAATACTTCAATAAGAACCACATTTYCACAAATCCTTTTTTTTCCAAAGGCTCTACTCCTATCTAATTTTTAGCAATTACTTAATTTAAGAATAACAACATTTCTCATTTTCAGCCTGTAATGTTTTTAAATTCAGAGCTTTACATCCATCCATCCATTATTTTACCTGCTTTTTCTTTCTTGGGTTGTGGGATCACCAGTGCCCATGTCCAGCAATCTTTGTGTCARTGTTTTTCGCAGTGTATTCCACTGATGTAGTAGAAACCAGTCCATGATTTTACCCCCATGAGTTGTAATTTGTCCTGAAACAGAAAAATGACAAATGATACTTCAAACATGGGAAAAACTGCATGAATATAGACAGACCTTGTATTCTTTGATGCATTCGTCCAGTTTGGGAATGATGGAATGTGTGTTAGTGTTCATGACAAGAAGCATTAAATCTTTGTTTCTGCAGGTTTCTGTACGAGCGCTCGGGGAAATGGAGCGATGGCACTGTTCCCATCTTAGCAACGACCGCTGCTGGCTTCACCTACATCACATTTTTAATGGTGAGTTCCTCTGAACTCACTGAGAACATGCTTAACTTGTTCTCATCGGAACATGTTGTTTGAGCAAGTGATGTTTTGAGGAGCAAAACATTTAAAAAAATATACTCTGTGTGTCTTGTTGTTTTTGTACTTTTCAGGTTTTAGCACTTTGCCATGTTGCACTGGGACAACAGCTGAATTTGCACTGGCTCCATAAGGTAATGTGACAAATGTGAGGCTTTGTAAGAGTGRGTGGGGGAAAGTGTGAGTAATAAGTGTGTGCATTGCTGTTTGTACTGCATAAAATGGTTTGGTTTGGTATATAGGTTTTTTTTTTTTTTTTTTTTACTGTGGTATGTGTGTGTGTCGTCTGCAAGCTAAATGAAATTATTTTGGGTTTTGTTTTTTGTCAGTTTGTGTATGTGTTTCCAAAATGTTTTCCAAAAACCTCATCTTTGGATATTTTAACATTTCTTTGTWCACACAGATAGGAGTAACTGCTGCTTTGCTCACCACCATCGCTGGGGTCATATCTGTCAATCAGACATGGAGACAAGAGTGGGATGTCGTTCCCATCTCCTTTCAGGTCAGAAACAAAACAGCTGATATCAGTTTATTGTTGTTTTTATTTATTTTTTCTTATTCAGAGTTAAAATGGGACAAAAATATGTCATATAATCGTTACTGTGGAGACCTGACATTTGATCTACACTGATCTCCTCTCCTGATGATATTCAACAATCTAATCAATATCCATCAAGTTTTAAAGGTCTTATAATTAATATGTCCACATGAGGCTGTTGCACTGCCAGGGATGTAAGAGGAGCCACAGTTCCTCTAAAACTMAGGTCTTTAAAATTCAGTATCTCTYCAAATTGCAAAAAGTGTATGTGTTTTCTATGGTGTAACTGCTTTATGATATACCGAGGACTCCCTGTCGTGGTTTTTTTTTTTTTTTTGGTTCAGTTTTGTGTACTCATTTCTATGACAAATGTTCTGTTCAGGCAACAGGTCCATTCCTGCACTTAGGGGCCCTCGCTGCTGTCACCGCACTGTCCTGGATTGTGGCAGGACAAGTCGCCAGAGCAGAAAAAACAAGTATGTTTTTATTTATCTTTTGTTTGTTTTTTAATGCAACACAAAATGAAAACTATTTTTACACAATTTAATAATTATACTGTCTGCCAGACGGCACACACACAGAAGAGCAGTAAATTATTAATACAGTGTTYACAAAAGCCAGGACATCGACTTAGGGTGTTGGAAATAACAAACGTCATGTTTTCCAACCAAGACCACCTGGATTGATTTTGGTTTTTCATTCASTTGATTTTAAATTAGAATTTAATAGAACACATTTATTGTTTTATGCTCCAATTTCTGACGATGTAACTAACGGGTGGAAATCATGCTTTATGTCAGTATTTTGCAATGAGTTGTGGTCTAGAAATGTCTATCTGCTTCTGGTTCCCTTTCAGTCAATTCACTCAGTACAACACATCATGTATGGGAAACCACGCCCCTGCGTGTCCTGGCTGAAGCCACCTCTAATCACGCCTTTAGGCAGGTGACGTGATGACGACAGATGTCAGGCTCCTCCTGCACATATATATAAACTGTCGCCATCACTATCACTCCTTAGTTCTATTGCTCTTCACCTCGCAACAACACCCACTTCTTCCAACCTAGCTAGTTAGCTGCTGCTAATTAGCTTTGTTTGTTCGAAGGTTCTCGGATTTAGTTTAACGGCTTTTGTTGGTGTCAGCTGCAGCTGCCTACTGGTAACTGTGTCTGCCCGTGGAGCGCTAACTTTAAGAAACCTTTCTTGCCTCGACGAAAGAGAGAATTTTGTGGTTCGGGATGAGCACAAAATTATTCAAGAAGAAGCAGAAGTCTTCAGTTCGCCCCTGTCCCCAGGGGTGCGGCTTCTCGCTTCACGAAAAGGACCAGCATGAGGCTTGCCCGGTCTGTTTGGGGATTGTCCACGCTCGTAGGACGTTGGCGGAACCCGAAGCGTGTGCGTTTTGCCGCCTGCTTCGACGCTCAACCCTGGAGAGACGGGTTAAGTTCTTGGAGAAAGTGCTGGGCGAGGCCGCAGTCGCACGGCAGGACCCTCTCCTCTCCGAGTCTAGTACCCCGGGAGGAGCCCTCGGTCGAAGTCTCCACTTCCAGTTGGGCAGACCAAGTCAAATATATGGAGGGGTTAGCCGACGAAGAGGAGGAGGCCTCCCAGTTTCATCTGGACCTCCACCATGGAGGGGAGGACGTGCTGGATATCTGCCTGGATGTGCATGGTCTGTCGGAAGACGACGATGAACCCGGTCCGAGTACAGAAGCCCCCGCTACTGCGGGGGCAAACCAGGAGGACACGTCTTTTCTCTCTTTGTGTCATCGCGCGGCTCAGAAACTGGAGGTGGAATGGCCTGCTCCCCCTCCTGCACAAAATCCGTCACGGTTTGCTGGATTTTTTCTCCCCACTGAACCGACCGCGGTGAAAAACCATCTTCCCATGTTCCCAGACTTCGTCTCGGACCTGACGTCCTGCTGGACCAAACCTCTGTCCACCTGCATCACAGTGCCCGGTTATGGACCGTATTTGGATTTGGAAGGAGCTGAATAAGCTGGACTGGTGAACAAATTTCCCATGGAGCCGTCCCTGGCAGTGTATTTGGCCCCYTCTCACAACCATGGTGTGAGCGGACCCACCACGCTCCCTCCCAAGCCCTGTAGATTTTCTGCTGCGCAGCTTGAAAAAATCTACAAGGCTCAGGCCACRGCCGCTTGCGGCCTGAGCTCCATCAGCATGCTCCAGGCTTACCAGGCTATGGCTCTGGCGGAGCTCGGAGCCCAGGTACTGGCTGAGAGTCCTCTGCTGCCCCTCTTAAATGAGATCAGACTCAACGCGGACTACATCCTCCGTGCGTCCTGCGGCGTAGCGCTAGCCGTCCCTGGCAGCGTATTTAGCCCCGTCTCACAACCATGGTGTGAGCGGACCCACCACGCTCCCTTCCAAGCCCTGTAGATTTTCTGCTGCGCAGCTTGAAAAAATCTACAAGGCTCATGTGAGAAATACAGACATTGTTCAAATGAGATTATTAGTTGTGTTACTGTTTTTGTGTATTTGACTGTACAAAGAC